CATTTGGGTTGTTTCTGCTTTTTGCTATTGTGAATAATAATGCTATAAACTTTTGTGTGAACACTGCTTTCATTTCTCTTAGGTATATATTCAGGAGTGGAATTGCTAAGTAACTCTTTCATTTAACATTTGAAGAACTGCCAGATTATTCTCCAAAGTGGTTGCACCATTTTACATTCCTACCAGCAGTGTATGAGAATTCCAGTTTCTTCACATCTTTTCCAACCCTCGTTATCATCTGTCTTCTTGATTAAAGTCATCCAGTGGGTACAAAGTGCTCTCTCACTGAGATTTAGATTTCTGTTTTCCTGCTATCTAATGATGTTGAACATCTTTTCATGTGCTTATTGGCCATTTGCATAGTTTCTTGGAAAAATGTCTATTCATATTCTTTGCCCAACTTTAATTGGATTATTTATTTTCTTGTTGGGTTGTAAGAGTTTTTTTAAATACTCTAGATACAAGTCCCTTGTCAGATACATGATTTGCAAGTATTCTCTCCCGTTCTGTGGGTTGTCTTTTCACTTCCCCTCTCTTTATTTTTCAATTTTTGAATCTTACCTAGGAAAAGGTGATAGATTTAATCACATGTTAATGTCTATGCCTGTATGATCTGTGCAATGACCGTGAGTAAAGGGTTTCTTCTGTGAAATCCAGTCAGGATGGTGCATCTCAGTAGAGAGAACCTTACAATGGGCTTTGGTGTTATTTCAACTTTTCAGAGTGACCTGTCTCAACAAAGAAGTCTAAGGCTGGAAGTTACCCTAGAGGAAGTATAAAAAAAATCCACCATCTGCCTTAAGGCAGGATGCCCACCCAGCACCCACGAGCCACAACAGAAAATTTCTCTGTAGGCACTTCTTATACATGGGGGCTCGTAGTTTAAGGAGAAATATTTTAATTGCCTCAGTTTGACTGGTAACTGCTTGGGGTGGAAAAAACTCCAGATCAGTTAATGAACCAGTCAACAAGGTCAAAAAGTTTTTTTGTACACTGCAGTGAACTTACTTGTTTATATCTGTCTTTGTGTAAGCCCAGGTAAAGTAAAATAGGGAGAAAGTGCAGAGAATATTTGCCTGCAGGTTTTATATAACTTGTAAAAAGAAACAGTCTGGCCCAGCCAGTGTGGCTTGGTAGTTTGAGCGTCGACCCATGGACCCAAGAGGTCACCGGTTCGATTCCTGGTCAGGGCATGTTCCCAGGTTTTAGGCTTGATCCCTGGTAGGGGGCGTGTAGGAGGCAGCCAATTGATGTTTCTCTCTCATCAATGTTTCTCTCTCCCTATCCTTTCTTCTCTCTGAAAAATCAGTAAAAACATATTTAAAAATAAAAAGAAACAGTCTGCTGTGATGCTCCCAAGAGAATTTTTGCTGCCTAGAAATGCAGATGCCCTGCTTCTTAACAGAAATGGGTACATCTTTTCTTCCACAAGTGACAGGGCAATAGAGTATAAATGAAGCTGAATGTTGTTTGCTTTTGGTTATTGGTAAGAATGTTGAAACCCATATCTGAACTAGTACATACACAACAATTTCTTGGGTGTATAGTTAAGCAGACCACCCTAGTGGAAGATTCTGGTTGGTGTTATTATAGCACTTATTATAACGCAGCACAAGCTCCTGGAAATGCATTCATATTTTAAAGTGCCAGAGTATTAAGTCACCAGAGCAAGGGAAAAATAAAGTTTGTTTTCCCACCTCCATGGTGCTTTTCCTTTGACTTAGAGTCCCCGGGGAGTACAACATGGCCAGCTGCATTGCCGTTCAGTGAGTGACAATTATAAGAGCACCTCTGCATAATGCTATCCTCCCAAGAGACAGGACAAGAGTACAGCTGTCCCCCTGCCAGTTTCCTGAAAGAGGAGGACATTGTATTCAGTGCAAGTCCTAGACCAAATTTCAGAAAGGCACTTTGGTACTGCGGATTTGTCACCATGCCCAGGACGCATGCACAGGTCACTAGCTGACTGCTTTTCCCATGACTTGAGAACAGTTAAGAAGAATAAGGTGACTTCTTTTTCTGCCTGCCATTTATGGATAACAAAATCCTTATCCTTTAAGCCTAAGGTTATTTCTAAATCTAGGTCTCAGCAAATAAGAATAAAAATGAAGTTCTAGCACATTTGTGTAGGAGACAAAAGACACTAAGAGGTACAATAGACACTGATAAAAAGAAATCATTGATTTTACCCATCAGCAAAAAGGAACTTGGTTACTACATAGAGCTGTTGGTGAATTCACAGTAAGCAAATTCCAAGTATACCCTGCCAATTAGTAAAAATTTTCCAAGTAATGAAAAACTCCACTTCTTCAAAGAGTTCCTTTCCCTTTTGCAGTTATGTACTAAATGCTCATTAAACTATAGTTTCTGACTTGCAGTAGTCAACATGGGATTTTTTTTTTTTTTTTTTAATCCTCACCCGAGGACATTTTTCCATTTTTTGTTCAGGTAGAGTGGGAGAGAGAGGAACAGAGAGAGAGAGAGAAACATCGACATGAAAGGAACACATCGAGTGGCTGCCACCTGCACGACCGACCAAGGCCGGGGACAAACTGCATCCGAGGTACGTGCCCTTAGCGGGAACCGAACCCGGGTCTCTCTGGACCGCAAGCCGACACTATAACCGCTGAGCCAAACCGGCCAGGGCTCAACTTAGGATTTTTTGACTTCATGATAGTACAAAAGCAGTACACATTCTGTAGAAACCAACTAGGCTAAGCTATGATGTTCAGTAGGTTAAGTGTATTAAATGCATTTTCTACTTACTGTATCTTCAATTTACAGTGGATTTATCTGGATTTAACCCTATCATTAGGTCAAGGAGCATCTGTACTTGAAAGCCAGAGGCTGACCCATTTCCTCTGTTCACGACTGCATAATACCTAGTGGTATTACAAATGAGAATGTGCAAAGATAAACACTGTTTGGGGAACAGAAATTGTCTGGATTCTTCCAAATGGATGATACCTCTGTTAACGCAAACACAGTGACCATTCCTTTCCTCCTTAATTACATTTGCTTTCCTGTATGTTAATAACTTTGGTGTTTAATCTTTGCCCTTCCCTTATTTTCTCACAAATTATACAGCTTATCTCTCAGAAGATGTTTCCCAGTCTTGAAAGGACAAAAGACAGAGTGACTGCAGGGCAGGGGAAAACTCTATGCCTAAACCAAGCATCAAACTTTCCCACTGATTTGGGCTTTGCATGAGGCACTTTTTGAAATAGCCTGAATGAGCAAAAGAGGACTTTTCTGCAGGGTTTGAATTTAACTATATAACCCAAAGATACCACTTCACCTCTTGACCAGGTAGGGATGGAGGAACCTCTCAGAATTAACTAGCAAGCTTGAGTTCCAAGGTGAAATCCTGTTTGTGGCAATACAAACACATTTACAGGCTTCTATCCAACTGTGATATTCAGAGATATGTTGAGTATTATTTTTCTCTTGTCTGCCTTTGTACAGAGAAGCTAGTGAAATGTACAGAACTTCAAATGAGTTTAGATAAGTTTCTGCATTACAAACTGGGCACTGTGGAGCTACTCTTGTTCTGCTTTCCACCAGTCATGGGCTCCTGTTATGAGCTGGTAGCTTTTTGTTGTTGTTAATTTTTACCCAAGAAGGATATTTTTCCATTGAGTTTTAGATAGAGTGGGAGTGGGGGAGAGAGAAACATTGATGGGAAAAAGACACATGGACTGGTTGCCTCCCATACGCCCTGGCCGGGGCTGGGTATCAAACCTGCAGCCCTTTGGTCTGGGGGCTGACGTTCTAACTGCTGAGCCAGACCAGCCAGGGTGAGCCTGTAGCTTTTTAATTCCCACATTCGAATGTGAGAATTAAATCAGTAGAGTTCTACTGATTCTTGGTTTTAATAAAACTCTGGAAATATTAGAAGGAAACTCTACAGTGAACTTTTTCCATTGACAGTCATCAGTTATTGGTTAAAATACATTATGAAGATTATATACCATTAATCTCATTAAATGTGTATAAGCCTATAGCTTTTCATAGTTCCATGCATAGATTTACTACATTCAACTTTCTTTGATCTTGACATTTTTGAAAGAGAATCTTAAATTAGGAAGAATTCTGTCACTAATTGATAAACATTTTGTTTTGTTTTGTTTTATTTTGCTTTACCCCTCTGCAGTCCTCTTAGTTTTGCCTGTCACAGATGACAGCCATTCTAACGCCTAATTTTATAATATCAGACATCTTTTGACTGCAGGCTGTAGTTTGTAGGTGTTGATGTAAGCTGAAGAGTAAGAAAAGTGTCTGTAATTTAAGTTATAGGAAAGAGCTCATGTCAAAGGCTTGTGTGCTTACTACACACAAGCTTTCCTCAAATCTTACCATTTTTGTGCACACATTCAGGTCTTTAGGGTGATCGTTCTTTGATTAAGGACCATCTGTGAAAAAACTGGGCCAAAGGGAAAAATCATCATGCTCTGTCTCTGAGAAGTATGTTCAACTTCTAAATAGGTCACTGGGGGTATAACTGAAAGGCTTCAGCAGCCCAAGTCAGCACTTAGCTGTGGCATCAAACCACGACGGCACAGTTTGACAGCGTGCCCAGGAGATTACTTCAGTCATGTAGGGCAGGGGGAGCTTTGAGGTTTATGGGTAAAATTGGAGGGGAGAAGGTAAGGGTAAAAGAGGAAGGGAATACGTAACCCTGTGCTATTTTGATCCAATAATAACATTATTTTGCCTCTTTCCTTTTTTATTTTTATTTTAATTTTTTTTTAGAAGACCTTGTCAGTAAATGAAGCAGAAATCCTCCTTAGGGAAAAGTAGCTGGGTCTTAAGTAGAAACCTGCTCTCTATATACAGGGTGGAGCAAAAGTAGGTTTAGAGTTGTTTGTTCAGAAAATATTAATTAATAAATAATAATACAAGAGTGAACTCTGTTTCACATACTCACAACTGTTAACCTACTTTTGCCCTACTATTTAGTTGGATTTCAAATAAAGACATTGTTGGTGTTTTTTTTTTTTAGTTTTCCCAGCCTTTGTAGGATTTTAAATTCAATATCTATAAGATGTAAATTGTTCCAGATTCCCTGAGCTGTGTCTGCAAGAATCGTGTGGCCTGGCTGTTACCTTGCTCATGATAGTCCACTAAAATTTAGGCACAGAATAATATTTAGTTTTGTCGTTCTATTTCCAATGGAATGTTCCCTAGGAGTCTTACAAAGTGACTGTTGAGGCCAGAATGTTGACTCTTCCAGAACAGGTGAGCTAAATCTGTCATGAGGTGAATGAATGGAGCCCATTTTTAAATGTTTATAGCCAGCCCATTTTCCATTCTAGAGAAGCCAGGATTGCAAGATTAGCCAAACCAGTAATAGATCAGGCCGTGTAGCACCCAGGCTCAGCTTATAGAGAAGTTAGCAGAAGCAAACACCTGGTATAACTGTTAGTATTCTACCCTTCCTCTCCCTCCTTTCTTTGCACAAACTTGTAACCCTCTTCTCCAGGTGTCCTTCACTGGGAGGATGTTACAGGCCAGCTTTACTTAGAAGACAATAAAATTTGGGAGCACAGTCAGCTAGTTTGAAAGGATTATATGCCTGTGGAAATGACGCCACTAGCTAAGTTTCTCAATGGGGTATTTGTAATGGCCTGGCACTTCATTGGTCTTTTTGTTAACATTGCTACTAAGCCTTTGTATGAAAAACCAGCAGTCCTTGTACTTTTTATTTTGTGGCATTAGCCGTATTTGAGTCAGTAACTGGGATGAAAGGGAGGGTAAGGTATTAGGGTTCAGGGACACACACACACTCCCACCTTTTCTCTCTCTAATATCCTTCAATATGATCATCTTTCCTGCCTTTGAATGGTAGACCATACTTGAAGATAAAAGCTGATGACCACACAAGTATCCAGAGGAAGCTTACTATTTCTGCTGGCATTTAAATTTCATTGAATTTTGTTCCCTTGAAACATAGACCTTTAAATTTGGGTGTATTAGTACAGCTTTTAATTTACATTTTAAAAGATATTTTCAAGTTAAATTTTACCCAGGATCTCTTAGGTTTTCCAGGACAGTAGCTAGTTTCAATTTATAAAAGGCTTCTTTTCTGTGATCATAGGTCCCTTTATGGAGGCTGAGACCTGATTGTAGTCCTGCTAGCAGTCATCTTTACTCCTGTTTTGGCTAGTATCTACATATTTCCTGAGCTGACCAAGGGCAGCAGGGCCAGTCTGCAGGAGTAGTCCTGTTCTGAACATGTACGGTATTGTCTTTTGCAGTTGGTATTACACAATGCCCTTAAATAAAATTGTGTGATTTTTATCTGGTAGTGGACCTCGGATGAATGGGACCCATGAACTGTGAAATTAAAAACTGAAACTGTTCAGTGATATTGTTTGCTTGCTGAACACCCCACCACCACCAAAAAAGGGAGGTGATATACAGATGATGGTAGGAGGCCAGTGAGGTCTTTCTTAGTCTAACTGATATTTTATTTCATCTAAAACTGCCATATATGGCTAGAGAACATCTGATGCTTGGCAAATGATAGGTTCTGACAGGAGGAACTCTAGCAGTTCATGCAACTAACCTCTTTTAGGAGAGAACCCAAATGGAGAGCTGTTGGCATATTGTGTACAGATATGCTGTCTGCATAGTGTTCCTATTAAATATTTGTGTTAAATAGAATATTTTGTCAGTTCAGGAAGAGAAAATGGAGTGTGTTCTTTCTTAAATATTTTCTGTCACTTGCTTCCTTTTATCCTAAGACATACACCAAAGCTTTTGGTTTAGTTAAGTGATATTTTCATACCTCTCTGGCTGCCTTTGGCTTAAGTTTTAAAATGTCAGTGTCACCCTGCCTGTGTGGCTCACTGGTTGAGCGTCAACCCATGGACTAAGAGGTCACCAGTTTGATTCCCAGTCAGGGCACATGCCCAGGTTGTGGGCCCAGTCCCCAGTGGGGGGCATGTAGGAGGCAGCCAGTCGATGTTCTCTCTCATCAATGTTTCTATCTCTCTCCCTCTCTAAAAAGCAATTTTAAAAAAACAATTTTTAATGTCAGTGTCACTCAGCTGGAAGGACAGTTGCAAGCTATACATCAGGAACCTAATTTATTTTTATTTATTTTTAATATATTTTTTCTTTATTTATTTTAGAGAGAGAGGGACAGAGAGATAGAAACATCAATGAGAGAGAACATTGATCGGCCGCCTCCTACATGACCCCCACTGGGGATTTGGCCCACAACCAGGGCCTGTGCCTTGACCGGGAATCAAACCAGCAACCTCTTGGTGCATGGGTTAACGTTCAACCACTGAGCCACACTGGCTGGGCCCTAACGTATTTTTAAAAACAAGTCCAGAATGCAACTGCGTGTTGTAATGTGAAAACTAGGTTCTTGAAATCAAAGGCAGTCATTCTGATTTTCTATCTTCCTCCACCTGTCCCCTCATCCCTTTGTTCTTTTGTTCCCCTTCCCTATATCCCTTCCAGTTCCATATTGAAAAACTGCTTGTACCGGATGGATAATTAATGCAGAGCAACAGGTCCCACTGGTGGGGACTAAATCTGAAGTAAATGTTAATGTCGTGCAGGTTCACATGCATTAATAAGTGAGGGAGATGAGTGAGGTTAGACTCAGATCAGCCATACTAGTGTATGACTTGAAATAGATCCTCTTAATTAGAGAGCCAAGAACCATGACAACTACCAATGTCTTCCACCTGCAGTGGTGAGCTGCAGCCTCATTAGTGAATGAAAGAGGCATTCTCAATTAAAACTGGATCTGTCCTTTAGCTGTAGTTGGGGTCATCTGGCTCCAGGCTTTGAATATTTGACATGGAGAGGTCTGTCATTGCAGGCTTTACAGTTAACTGAGAGGTGTGTATTTGTGGGTTTCCCTTCAGTAACTCCCAAAAGAGACCTATGACCCTCATCAGTGATGGAGACAGGTCATTTGAATTTGCTTATGGGAGTTTAAATGCTAGAGTCCTACTGCAGAGGTTGGCTGTAGGAGTTTTAGTTTTGAAAAATTAATGTCCTTGACCAACTTTCTAATTGGTTTGTATACAGATATTACTGTTAACAGTTTATAGGCCCTCTTAGGCCTGACAGAGAGCCACACCAGATTCAGAGACACATATCTTTTAATTGTATAATCTCTAAGATTTAGATCTCTATTGTTATGGACTATTTTATAGCTAGCAGGATGTCTTTAAGATCAGGTAGTGGTTAAAATCAATAGCAAATTGGAAAGCAGTGAACAGGCAGGCACTTGCTAGCCAGAAATTGCAGTCCAGCACTTTTTAACAAGTGATCTGGCCCTGGCCGGTTTGGCTCAGCGGTTAGAGCGTAGGCCTGTGGTCCAGAGAGACCCAGGTTCAGTTCCTGCTAAGGGCATGTACCTCGGTTGCAGTTTGTCCCCGGCCCTGGTTGGTCGTGCGGGTGGCAGCCACTCGATGTGTCCCTTTCACGTCGATGTTTCTCTCTCTCTCTCCCTCTCCTCCCCACCCCCCACTCTATCTGAACAAAAAATGGAAAAATGTCCTCGGGTGAGGATAAAAAAAAAAAAGTGATCTGGAAGAAAACATCCGCAAGCCCTGAAGATGGGAAGATACTCTGCAGTAGCTCTATTCTCATGAGGTACTACTCTCTTTACCATAGAGGAAGAGTGCCTGTCTGGCCCTGGCCAGCATTGCTCAGTGGTTAAAACATCGGCCCTCGTGCCAAAGGGTCTCAGGTTCTATTCCTGGTCAAGGGCATGTACTTGGGTTGGAGGTTCGATCCCCAGCCCAGGTAGAGACACATACAGTAGACAACCATTCAATGTGTCTCTCTCATATAAATGTTTCTCTCTCTTTCCCCCTTCTCCCCTCCATTCCACTCTCTCTCTAAAAAGAAAGAGTGCCTGTCTCAAAGTACTACTAGCCATATTCTTTTGAAGCCAGAAAATAGAGGTCCTTGGCCTATTGGATAAAGAGCTACCAGTTTCCCAAGACAGGCCTGCTCACATATCAAAGACAGCTATTCCAGGACTCACCACCTAAGACTTGAACAGTTCTTAGAAGGAATCTAAAGGTTCAAATACTGTTGTGTACTAGAGGGACTTCAGCATCTATTCTCAGGAAAATGCTTCCACTCCCAGAACCAACCTTTTATCAAGTAGTTTTTTAAATTGCAGAAATATACCTGCTTCTAAAACTATAGTTTCTTTCTGAACACCTTGAGAACCTTAACTTCACCATCTTTACTGAATCACTGGCTGAATTATTTGCTGAATAGCTCTGGAGTGTGGAAAGAGAGTAGGGAAAAGGCCACTGTCACCTTCAGGTACCTAATGACCAAACTTCTGGGGTTGTTTGCTGAGCTTGGCATCCATGAGCAATTGAGTCTTTTTAATTTTTTTTTTTTTTTATCCTCACCGGAGGACTTTTTTTCCATTTTTTGTTCAGATAGAGTGGGAGGGAGGGAGGGAGGGAGATAGAGAGAGAGAGAGACACACACACACACACACATTGATGTGAAAGGGACACATCGAGTGGTTGCTGCCCGCATGACCCAACCAGGCCCAGGGACAAACTGCAACCGAGGTACGTGCCCTTAGCGGGAACCGAACCCGGGTTTCTCTGGACCGCAGGCCAACGCTCTAACCGCTGAGCAAAACTGGCCAGAGTGCAAGTGAGTCTTATATAGGTCTGTGTGACAAGAATCAGTTTGTAATTGATTGCATATGGTCTCATTGCCAGCTGTCCTTTTCACGTTGTCTCTAGCCTGTGATCCTTGAGAGCAAGGACCACATGTGAAATCTCGCCACTTAGCATATTGCCTAGCATAAAATAAATGACCAATAAATGCTTGAGTGGACAAATGACTTTGATCCTCTCTCCCCAGAGGCTATGTTTCATTCCCTGGCCGGTTTGGCTCAGTGGTTAGAGTGTTGTCCCACAGACCAAAGTGTTCAGGGTTCAATTGCCGGTCAAGGGCACATTCCTGGGTTGCAGGTTTGATCCCCAGCCCCAGTTGGGGTCATGCAAGAGACAACCAATTCCATGTATCTCTTTCATATCGATTTCTCTCTCTCTCTATCTCTTCCTCCCTTTCCTCCTTTCCACTCTTATCTAAAAAAAAAAAAAAAAAATGTAAAAATATGCTCAGGTGAGGATTTTTTTTTTAAAGGGCTAGTCATGGTTAGTTTGGCTCAGCAATTGGAGCGTTGGCCCGCGGACCAACTCGGAATCATGAATTTGATTCCGGCCAGTGGCACGTACCGGCGGTTGCGACTTTTCCCCGGACCAGTCGATGTGTCTCTCTCACATCCATGTCTTTCTCTCTCTGTCTCCCTCTCTCCCACTCTATCTGAAGATAAATAGAAAATTATTCTTGGGTGCGGATTACAAAAAAATTAAATTTTTTTTTAATCCTTACCCGAGGACATTTTCCCATTTTTTTGTTCAGATAGAGTGGGAGCGAGGGAGGGAGGGAGGGAGGGTGAGAGAGATGTGAAAGGGACACATCAAGTGGCTGCCATCTGCATGACCCAACCAGGGCTGGGGACAAACTGCAACTTAGTGGGAACCGAACCCAGGTTTCTCAGGACCACAGGCCGACGCTCTAACCACTGAGCAAACTGGCTAGGGCTAAATTAATTTTTTAAAAAGGGCTGTGTTTCTTTTTTCTTTTAAATGCTTTTTTTTTTAGAGAGCGAGAGAGATGTATCGATGTGAGAGAGAGATATCAATTGGCTGCCTCCTGCACTCCCCTCATAGGGGATTGAGCCCACAACCTGAGCATTTGCTCTGACTGGAAATCGACTGGGACCCCTCAGTCCATGGGCTTATGCTCAATCCACTGAGCTACGCTGGCCCGGCTAGGGCTGTGTTTCTTGATGGGATAGATCATAACTTTGTTTGCTTTATGTTCTTCCTTCAATGTGGCACCTCCGGTGTGGCATTGGTTAGTAAGCAGTGGGAACTCAGTAAATACTGACTGATGAAGAAGGAAATGCTTGACCTTGAGGTTGAGGAAGATACCCTGATGGATATTCCACTGTGTTCCCCAGAGATAAGAGGACTACAGAAAGTTCTTTCAAAACAGCTTGGACTCAAGATTTGAAAGAGCCAGGAAACTGGGTTCTAATTCTGCTGCTTATTGGCTTCATGGCTTTAGATAAGTCAGTTTCATCATCTGTGCAATGGGAATCACAATTAATTCTCACAGTATGGTGGTGAAAATCAAATAAGAGCAGCTGAGAAAACAC